GTTTGTTAGCTTAAATTCTATATTTAATTATAATCATGTACTTGTTTGTACTTGCACTAAACACTTAATATATGTTCCCCGATTAGCCGACTTGACGTAAGAGAGTTTATTTATAAAAGATAACAGTTACATTTAATAACTTAAATTTTTCGGATGAAATTGTTTATGAAGTTTATCCTCGTTTAAGCTTTATGAAGACAGTTCATTGCAAGTTTGTACCATATATTGTGTGTCTTTGTATATGTTCCATACTAGTGGAGGTTCTATCTCTTTTGAATTTCTTTTGAATATAAATTAAATACTGTTCTTTTAAGTAATTTATTATTGCCCACTTGAATTGTATAGCCCTAGGTGCCGCAGTGTTCTTTATGTAGAGCGCCATATATCAATGCTCATTCGGGTCCGATGGCACCTCCAATTTCAAGCAAGTTTTGCAGAGGCTTCTTCGAAGTTACTCTGGAGTTAGGCGGTTGCATGCGAGAATGAAGAAAATAATTCTGATAGCAACATTGATTTATTGCTTTAAGTACTGCGACAATAACATTGAGAGGCGAATTTCGAAAGTTTAGATAAAAAGTATATTAAAGCTTCCATAGGTTTGTTTTAACGTCAGTTTGTGCATGTTACCTAACTATGTAACTTAATATACATTTAAATCAAATTTAGATCAATCTTAATAATAATTGTGATTTTAAATAGCAGAGGTGGATTTAAGGAGGAGGGGTGGTAAAAAAAATTGATTGCCCAAACGCATCAGGTTATTTTCGGGCGTCTAGAAAAGACAAATTTCTTCTAAAATGGTGTCATCTCGATCGGACCCACTTTCGCCCCGGCCTCCCCCTTTCGGATATCTCTGGATTTGCCCCTGAATTGGCCTGCATGCCAGCAACTAAAGAACGTGGCTATTTATTTTTAACATTGTTCTGTGTATATCAATTTAATTTCTTCAATTTCAAACGAATGACCGCTGAGTTTCGTATAATTTTTGTAGTATTTCAAATGAATGTACCCACTGTTGTCTTCTAATCGGATTAAAATCTGGCCGAATTTTGGCCGATATCGAAAAAAAGTTTGGCTGAATTTGGCCGTGAGATGGCGTGTGTTTGGCCGTGAAGCCTGTCGCCTATCTGGCAACCCTGTTTACTACTCTAGCAGACACGCTAGCCTCCTCCTAGGCCTAGTAGTAGTGGTAGATGAAAGCTTGAATGAAGAGGCCTGGCTTTAGCCTAAGGCCTACAGTAGCTGTACCGGTACTAGCCTAGCCGCCGTACGGAGACGGACAGAACTGAGGTTCTCTGTTCTCTCTAGGCCATTGAGGATATAGGGCTAGGCCTAGAACTTGGGCCTTTTGTTGGCCTAGCTAAGCTGTAAGTTAATTGCCCCATAGTCTAGTATGCCATAAGAAGAGTGGTAAATTGCATTTGTGCCGTGTCCTCACTATCTAATGTCCATGATGCTTTAATAAAATAATGGGTTTAGGGAATAACCGGGGTAGGGGTGGTGTAAAGAATTGTATCATTATTTGCAGAAAGTTAATGTAATCTTAGGCCTATACTAACATAAATGGTGATTTTATTTCAGGAAAGTCTCAGTTACTACTGTAAGTGTAATTAAGTGAAAACTCAATCCGGTCTACTCAATCTTGTAGTGGGAAAGCATTAATGTTTGTTTTAAAGACGTATCGGTGAAGGAACAGAAAATTACCTGACATTCTAAAATTGTTTTAAGATGCATCTGTGAAGGCCAGAAAATTACCTGACTTACTAAAGGTGAATATAATGTTTTGTTGACGTTTTATTTTTACTGTCCTGTACTATTAATTATTAACAACATGCTATATATGATGATGTCGTTTACATGATAGAGTTTAATCAAATCAAATAATGTGTATATATATTAGGCCTATATAGGCCTTAAGGGATATTGAAATTGTAGTGTAGGCTAAGCTGTTTTGAAATCTAAAAAAAAAATTAATTTTCTTTTGTTTAAAAAAGAAGTAACTGCTAGTCTGTCATTAGCTACATATATGTATATTACTCCTATTTTAATACAATAATAAAGGGATGTAATACATTTAATAGCGGTTTCTATAATATATTCTATTTTGTTTTGTTATATCTTTCAGCAAGAGTGAAACTCCGAGAAATGTTAGTACAAGTCACAATGATTTAGTATTTCAAACTAGATTTGTTCAACGGCATAATTCATACTAATTTAGCTTGGTACCATCGGACAAGAAAAGGCATGGACAGTTGCTGCTGCAATATCACAAAGAATGCTGGTTTATGCACACCTGTAACTGTCAGAAATGGTTCTTGAATATTGTCTTATATAATAAACTCTTGTAATAGGACTACATTACGAAAAAAAAATGCTTATTTAAACCGGACTGTAAAAGCAAAGAACTGTAGAATAGCCTTGAACTTGAGGTACAGTATGTTTAGCAGTAAGACATTAGCAAAATGATAATATATGAAGGTGTTTTAAATTAAAGAAATTATGGTTTGCATATGAACTCATAGTGTATTTTGTAAGTCTGCAGAAGTTGATTAAAGCCATTGTTACCAATTGAAACTGGGACCATTGCAAACCAATTGGAATTGGGGGCCAGTTAAGGTTGAAGAGCAGTTGAATTGTCCAAAAATACACAACACCCACTGTGACGTGGCATGGGATTTATCCCATGGTTCAGTATGGGTTATTCATGAATTTTCTATTTCTAATCATTGGCCAGGCATACAGGTCAATAACATTGCTCTATTTGATATATTAACATTCCATTGATTTGATGCCAGTGGTCTTGTTTTTGGGACTGGTCATTTATCATTTGGCTCTGACATGTCAATAGTGGGGACCAAAGGGTTCAATGACCAGGACCAGTTAATGAATAAGAAGAAATTGTATGGGAACCGGGAACTGAAAGGATGTGGTTAGAATGGAATGTAGATATAAGGCTAGGAAGTTTCTTTATTAGTATGCTTTGAGAATGGGGAAGGCAGTTATCACTTGGACACCTAAGTGCGAATAACTCCAACCAAGTGGGACTTAGGTTGTAATCATATGTGTACACAGAAATAACAGCCAAGTGTGACTTGGGCTTTGCTTTACGTTACATGAATTTTACTACATTTTTTGAAGATTAAATAGCATAGAACATTACGCTACCGTGTACGTTATATCATTCTGTTTGCTTCCGGACCGGACTATTGGACTTCGTCACACCCACATTATTTTTTTTTAGAATACACAGATTTTTTATATAAAATCGTTCAATTTATATACACTTTCTATATACAGTAATTGTATAGAATTTCTATTCGCATATTTAATGTACTTTTATAGGTTTTTTTTCTATAAAATGTTTATAGATTTATAAGTGGTTTTTATAAAATTGTTTATAGATTTTCTATAGTTATTTTAAGGGTTTTTTTATATAAAATTTTCATAGACTTTCTATAGAAATTTAATAGAATTTTCATAGTTTTTTTATATAATTTTTATAGATTTTTAAGTCTTTTAATATAGTTTTAATATATTTTTTATAGAGTTTTTATAAATTTTGTTACCGTTTTTTTATATATTTTTAATAGATTTTTAATATAATTTTAATAGATTTTTAATATAGTTTTAATAGATTTTTATAGTGAGCTTCTATAGTTATTTCTATAGAATTTTCTAAACAATTATGCTATAGACATTCTATAGTTTTTTTTTTATAGAATTCTATAGAATTTTTTTGTATGGGCCACGCCCTCCAGATAACGAGCCTGGTATCTTAAACAATCGACGACTTAGCTTGCGCTTGGTGATTACCCATGTAATGAACCGATCCCCAAATAGCAGCGGTTACTGCAATGCTATTCCGTGGTCTAATGGCTATGACAGTCACTCTGACAGCGAGAGGTTACATATTCGAATTCCACCAGAGACACTTTTTTCATGAACTGAATTAAAAGAAACTTTTCGTTGAAAAGCTATGCTTTATACGATTATAACATCTTTTTCCTATTTGAATACAAAATGACAATGATGTAAAAGTTTATTTATGGAATTCTATTTTAACTCCTATTTTAACCTACGGCAACCAATGTGTTGACTTAAGCGAATCCTATATCAATAAACTTGACAAAGCTACAGAATAAGTTACTGAAAGCTGCAATTGGTATACCTAGGCCTAAATTGTGCGAAGCATCACTATTATTCACGCAATTGACGTGCCAAAAGTACCGTAAGTAATATAATTAAACGCTTTCAGTTAGACCTCATGGCCCCGATTTTTAGTAGCAACTCTGGTACTCATTAATTTTATTCACACTTATTGAATTCCTATTTTAACAACGTTATGTCTCATCTTAAGGGCAACCCAGTCTCTCACGTTATAAATTTCGCTGGCACCGTACCGACAACTTTTCGTTTATTAAATCAATTTTGATGTAAAATACCGTATGCATGTTAAGTTATATTTTAAGAATAATTTTTGTATTGATTAACATTAAATCTGTGATAGTATTAAGTCCCTATTATTTATTAGTTTTAGATAGTATTATATATATATATAGTATATATATATATATAATTATATATATATAATTATTATATATGTTTATGTTTGGCACTGTTTGTTTCGATATATCTTATAAAACTAGAATACAATATATCATTTTTAACCTCATTAATTTCAAAGTACTAGTGCAGCGGAATGCGGTATTGATACCACGCAATAAAACTCATAGATGTGGTGTTCTGTGAAAAAGTAATATTGAGCTAATTATTCAAAACTGTTCGTCTATAACAAAAATTATCCTCTGTGATTAATTTTCTAATAGCTTTTATTTGTATCAAGGAAAAGGCTTTGGCAGGCACACAAACACATTGACGTGAAAGCTGAGCAAATCCTAGCTCTTTTTTAAAGAACAGATGCAGTGAACCGTTCTTTTAAGATTAGCATAACACAAGCCATTCAAACCCTAAGAATAAAAGCATTATCGTGAACAGTTTAGTCCATTCTTTAGTAGAATTTTGTGCCCCAGCCAGTGGTGTAAAAAAATAATATGACATCCAACGTATGGTAGATCTCTTGCAATTACAACTTCAATACCATGCTATGGAATTCACTTTAGGACTTTTACTTATTCTTCTGTTATCAGGTGATACTTCTGCACAAGGTAGGTTGAACAGTACACACGCCCTTTTCTGGGACATCCTAAGTTATATTATTAGGCCAAACCTGTTTTACTGTAGGTATAAACTTAACTATTTTTCTTCAGTAACCACGAGCTTTTGATTAAGGTTAAGTTCCGTCACAGGTGTTAATTGTTGGCCTACACCCTGCTTTGAGCTACTAATGCACCTAGAGCACACGTGTTGTAGCAAAAAATCATAGCAAAGTGTTATAGTTTTCGTAACGTTGAGGTTCATAAGCCCATATAAGTGACCCCAAACAAAAGGAGGATAATTAATTATTGTTTGTATCAGGTTCTAGGAAAGAATGACACAAGTATTGGAAAAAGGGGCAGGGAACTATCTATAACAACTTTTGTTTTTAAAGATGACTTAAATTTACTACTAAAATATTGCCACTCGCTTCCTTTCTAATGTAATGCGATTGATAGGCCTACTTTAAAAGTAATGTGATATAGATTGTAATCTTATATTGTATTTCAACGCCATTACAGGGATTGATATATTCTATTATATTCTGAGAATAATAGAGCAAAGTAACGTAAAAACTATTACATTCGAAAATATGAAATACAGTGCTAAAGTTTTCGTTTACTAGCCTACTTGTTGCGGTCTAGTTTTTGCTACAGCCTAGTTAGTCTACTGATACCTGTCGAACATTCACCGAGATAATATTTTACAAATCGACTCGGACAATGTTTTGTAAAACATAGGCCTACATAAAATATCTGATATCTGATCATCTTAGCTTTTAACAAACCTTTTTATTTTGACATACAGTAGGTCGACTGAAACACAAAGAAATGGGAAATGTTTACTGTATCACTGATGTTTATAAAAGTTCATTTGATTACTGAAAACTTACATACATTTTTACATTTTAACTTAATATATTTATGAAAAAATACTTTGGGTTTATTTCGTACCTCTTGTTGAAGCTTCTCGTCTTGAATGGTATCCGATATTAATAGGACAGGTGCCTTTTAAATTTAATATTGACATATTTATGTCCTGATTTCTGATGATGACATAATTAATGTCGAAATATTGAATCCCAACACGATGGCGTGCATTTCAATACCTGGAGTATGTATTATACTTTCTTATATTTATGTCGTTGTTTGGGAAAAACTGAGTTCCAAAGTTTTACGTAAGTCCTTTTGTCTGTACATACTCGGCACGATGTTCTGTGAATCCTTCTTAATAAATATGTCCTGTTGTTTGCAAATGCTGATACAAAGGACTCACGAGAGAGGCATTTATGATTACGCCAGCCTCACTACTGGACAGCCTTCAACTTTCGTCGAAGTGTGGCCACCGATGATTGATTGTCAGTGGCAGTACGCCTGATCGAATCGTCGTTGAAAATTATCCGCCACTCACGACGTTTTGCCGTCCCGAATCTTGTTGGCCGGACCAGCAGACAATCGGGCAAATACTGGGCCAATGCTGTTTCCAGTTGAAGAGACCAAAAAATGAGAGAGATAATTATGGAACAGATCATTTAATCTAAATTAAAATTTACGATTGAGCGATTTTAGTACTGGTACGCTGTGATTGACAACAATGTTATTTTTTAAGAAAAGAATTACTCAAAACTAAAAGACTAAAAGTTTATATGATAATATGAATTTGGGCATAGTGTATATGTAAGGATAAATACTAAAATACCTATGTTAAGCTAATTTCACATTTGCCTGTCATCGTGATCCATTATTCATAGTTAATCTCCGAAAACCACACAAAATGCCGACTTTATACCACAAAATAAACATCCTTGGTGTGATGGCCCTGTCACACCTTGGCGATTTAGCCAGCGTATGCCGACGTATGAAAAAAATGGCAAATACGCTGGCGTACGTACGTCGAATAAGTTATTGGTAACTTAGTTTCGTATTAGTTAGTGCACGCTGAATCACGCTAGGATAGTCGATCCTAGTACGGCGAGTACGTCGAAAAGTTTTGTGCATGCACAAAACTTTTCGACGTATCCAGCGTATGAGTAACCTATGAGTAACGTGCTTCTTATCTGCAACGTATATTGACGTAGACGCATTTGACGTGTTCCAGACGACCACAAAACTTTACTGAACGTGTTTTTAATCTTACCATTATCGTATAATGACGTATTGGCAGCGATTAGAGGAATAAGTATATTAAATTGGGGTGATGTCAATACGGTGATGTTAATACTGCGATGTCTAGCGCTGTTATGATTTTTATCACGTGATGTAGCCTTTTTATAGGCTACATCACGTGATAATCGGCGATACGCTGCCGCGCGCTGTGCATAAGATTGACAATCGCTGGGCATAAGCTGTGAACGCTAGCAACACGGAAACATTCATTCGTGACAGTTTTCTATAAGATAATCAAAGCGTTCTATATAAGTTACTAATACGTTATTTATACGTCTAATACGTTATGAGTACGCTATGAATGAGCCCAAAGTTGGAAAAAAAAAAGAAGATCGATAGTTCAGCGTATGCCAGCGTTTTGGTACGTTTGGCATACGCTGACGAAATCGTCAAGGTGTGACAGGGCCATAGCAAATATTTGGTGAGCGAGGAATTAATAACTAAAACCACAACAATTATACCGGTAATCAAGTGCGTCATCGCCGGTACGTTCCGAGCCGAGGTACTGACAGACCATTATGAGTAAATTCTTGCCAAGCCACATAAGGCCCATAGGGCAGAGTTTACTGTATTTACCCGTTTCAAGTAGCGTGAAGCTGATGAGAGTTTGTGATGCTCCCCTGGGGGGGGGGGACGCTAGTCCACCGCAGGTTACGCTCAGCAGTTTGCTGGTATCCATTGATACAGCTGGTAGCAGCTAGATATAGTGGCTTGCTCAAGGGCACATGCGAAATGTACAGCGTTGGATTGAACCCCTACCTCGAGGTTGGGAAACCAAACCGTTTCCACTACTTTAAACCACCTCTACACTGGTGATTACATCGAACCCCATTTATCTGGTGTTTACACTTCTTTTTAACGTAGTTTCTATTTTCCATTGGATGTTATTAATACGGTACCTTTTTAAAAATACTTGAGAGCTGTAAAGACAATTTTTTTTTCTATTCAGATTCTAATTCTTTATTTTTTTTTTTATCAAGATCTCATACTTTATATTCGACCCAGCATTATTTAACAAAATATTCTAACGTTAAGGCGATGTATAACCCTAATTAGAACTTCTTCACACAACTTTAATATTGATTCCTATAATAGCCATGATGACCTTTACAGAATGTGAAGGAACAAATGAACATGAGATTATTTTTGTGGTAGAATGCCCTGCATAACAATTCATTTAAGTTACGATTCTTACCTACATAATATAGAAAATCCTACACCTCTCAAATTAATCTATTAAATTGTTTTTATATATTTCTTGACTTTCATTCATGCTTTACAGTAGTTACAGAATTTGTTAAGAAACGACCCAAAACAATGTTAAGATTTTAATGAAGCAATGGCATACATTTACTCTCTATACTTCAAAAGCTATTACTAAAAGCTATTAATAATAATAATAATAATAATAATAATAATAATAATAATAATAATAATAATAATAATAATAATAATAATAATAATAATAATAATAATGTATTTTATTTATATTGCGCCACTTCCAATAAAAATTGTTCTGAGTAGGCGCATCACAAAGAAATCATTAAAATTATGCCAAACCTACACCTTTTACAATTAAAATACAAAGAAATACATTACAATTCATGGAACAACACATTTACAATTAGCCAATAAATACTTTAATAAAAATACACCAGAATCTGAGGTCACTAAAATGAAAATTTCATCACAACACTAAAAGTTAAAAGCAAAAAAAAAATAAATAAATAAATAAAAATAAAAATATTCCGCGTACCTATCTTCATAAACAACTGAGCAGGCACATATATATTGATTAATGGCCTGCGTAAATAAAAATGTTTTAAGTTAAATTTATTATTATTATTATTATTATTATTATTATTATTATTATTATTATTATTATCCGAAGAGTTATTATTATTATTATTATTATTATTATTATTATTATTATTTTTAGTGAAGAGTTGTACTATAAATACAAATGTTTCATAATACTTTGCTTTCGATGGGCCAAAGGCCTAAAACATTACTGTAGGCAGGCATATTTTTTTTCCACCGAACGAAATTATAACATTTGAATTGCGGACGTATAGGTTAGGCTATAAGATAAGAACTTAACACAACGCTTCAGCAACGCTTGCAACATTTATGGTTTTATTGATGGGACTCTTTAGAAACTACATCGGGCATAGAGATTGATCTTTTTTAAACGTATTTATATCTGTCAAACAATCGAATCAGCCTCGGCCTATTTTTTTTAAAGTGGGTAGGATTAACAGAACAATAATTAGCCCAAAATAATATTTGGTATCACTAGTTTGAGATTTTATAGATTATGAAGGTACTGTATGATAATGCAATACAATATGATGCTTAATTTGTATTTGATCAATTTGATTGACTGACTCAATGGAGGGGTAGGCCTACGCATCTTCGGCCTAATGTATTTGATTGGCTTCCGATTCCGATTCTGAAAGCCAGCGTCTATACATATACACTTTAATCCGACTTTCTGGTCGGTTCGGTAGGCTTTTCGATCCAAACATTCGGATTCTTCGGTGAGAATCCACATTTACTTTTAGTACAGTGCATTTTAATATCCTGTGATTCTGATAGCTTTAATGTAGAAATTTTACAGCAGTAGCAATTTTAACTGAATTTCTAAATCTATACCGTTTTAGGCCTAGGCCTATTAAGGTAGATTCACACCGAATCCGAATTCGGTTCGTAGAAGGTTTTCGATGCGCGTCTTAGTACGCGCCTCTATTATTTACTACTGATTTTATTTTATTTTTTCGTTTCGTTACACGCACCCCGAAAAGAATTCGTAATCGGTGTGAATACGCCTTCATGTATTTTTGAGA